CGAAACACAAGTTTTTAACTGCAAAACAAAAGCAAATTTATCAGCTACACTGTGAATAATTTCTATTCGAAGATAAAAATCAATTCGGTAAAACCTCCATCCTACCTGTAGAAACGATGGGACTAACAGTTGTTGTTGTTGTTGTCAGTATTATTGTTTATGTAAACAGTTCAAAATAACTCTAATCGATAATTAGCCAAAATAAAATTCTCTTCAACCAATGAATTATAAACAAAAACAACATTTTCCTAGGACTTCAAGGGGAAATAAACATTTATAAAACAACTAATTTGGTGAAGAAATGTTTACCTTTCAATTAGATCCTCATTAGTGGGTCTATATATATATATATATATATATATATATATATATATATATATATATATATATATATGCAACATTTTTTGTACAACACATAACGTACCAGTCTGATGATGATTGCTGTGTCAACAACTATTCTTTAATGTCAGTATGTCAAAGAAATGATGATTGGCAAAATAAAAATTAAGACGGCGAATATAGAAATGCCAACACCGTAAAACTATGCAATCATGCAAAACTAGATAATGGGCCTTTGAAAGAAGTAACTAGTGAACTAGAATTCTGCTATGGGTACATGGATGATACATTTTTGTTTATGAAAAATGAGGATGAAGCAAGGAACATCCTGGAAAAACTTACCGATGTTCATCCTGCAATAAATTTTACTATTGAGAAAGAAAAAGACTCTAGTATTTCATTTCTAGACGTCCTTATGACTAGTAAAGAGGACAGTACAATAAGAAGAGGTGTATGTAGAAAACCAACATCAACTGTTCACTATACTCATTTTTTCAGCTTCAAGTCTTTGAAATACAAACACGACCTAATAAAGTGTTTGGTTCGCTAAAGAGCAAGAGGAATTCGCGCCGATGAATGTCTCAATGAAGAGATTAAAATTTTTAAACAGTTACGAAGTGAGAACGGTTATCTAGAAATATTCATCAATAAGAATATGAATCAAAAGTCAAGGCAGATCAAAGTACCAACAGCTCCAAAAAAGGCTTTATTCTTAAAGCTTCAGTTCCACGGGGATAGCATCAGTGAGATATTAACACAACGCCTAAGGAATGCAGTAAAAAGAGCATTGAGTGCCGCTGAATTATTCTGTGTCTTCAAAAACCACCCCTATTTCGGGTTCGGGAGTTAAAGATAAATTGCCTAATTTCGCCTCTTCTTGTGTATCTGCCATTTGGACTGCTCCTGTGAAGCCACTTATATAGGCCGTACAATTAGACTTGTTTATTGCCACATTTCCGAACATCACCCTACGTGGTTAAGTAAAGGACAAACAAAATGCATCCATAACGCTATTCTGTGAAATTGTGTTGATACAGAAAACAAGATTGATGTTAATGGGGCAGCTTAAAAAGTCATTTACCTCACACCAGTTAATCTTAACTTTACCTTAAGAGTTCGTTTACTAAATATTGCTGAGGCCGTTGGGATCCCCATTAAGAAGCCTAACTTACGTCTCCAAAAGAACCTGGTTCGGACACTATCCTTACCTTGACCATCACGGTTTTATTGATCCTCGATTTGTTGTGGAAATTTACTTAATTTTATTTGATATTCTATTTGCTATTGCATTTTTATGCTAACTATAACTTAAACGTCTTTCTTGAACTGTAGTTTCGTTGATCTTAACAAATCGATAGTATTTAAAAACACAAATATTGTTAATGACGATTATTCTAGAATTTTCTCTCTCTCTCTCTCTCTATATATATATATATATATATATATATATATATATATATATATAATTGTAGATCCCAAAGAGGAAATTATCGAAAAGGTTATTCCTTGCTCATTTTTTTTCCTAAATGAAAATACTTCCTGTGATGTAAAGAAAAATGAATTAGCAGTCAAATTACTGGAACCAATTAGATGATTACAGTTAATAGTGAAGTAGTTAAATTAATAATAATAGTAAGATAATAGTAATTTATAATTAAGATAATGTGGTAAGAGGTATCCAATTTTTACATTCATGTATGTTGAACCGTGGAGAAGATCAGCTCAAAGGAAGTAGCTGTACAGATTTCTTAAGGAACTGACGACTTGTATTATTTCGTTAAATTTTCTTACGACCTTGTAAACTTCCTACAAATCTATTTTTATTTATTTTATTTTTGATTACAGCTTGATTCCACACTGTATTTTTGGAACAGGTATGGAATTTGCAGCATGTAGCCCAAATTTTGCAGACCGACCATAGATATCAGGTGTACGTCGGCAGGGGATCGAACCTCGGACCATGTGCATGGTGGGCGAGAGTCCTAACCACTGTGTTGGTTTGTAGGGATTCGGTTGGTTACAGGATGTCATCATGAGCTGACATCATTAAGAGGACCATTCGAGAACCTGCAGGGAGGACTAGACAGCCAGCTGTTCTATCCTAGTTTGGGACTTGTCACTGGTACGCACCCAGCACCACGGTTTGAACATAGGTCCTTCTAGTTACAAGGCGAGCTTGCATACCATTAAGCCACTGGGACCCGATTCAATGGCCAGTTCATGAATTCTAACTTCTGCCAATTTACGACATAGTGCGACCACTAACCAATGTCTTCGGCGAGTATTTGCCCTCACACCCGACCAGCTGCACCCTACTGATCATGACTTCTCACTAGAACCCCAGGTAACTACCTACCTGAATAGGGCGAGTCGCTAGTGAGCATATCATCGATATTCGTGACCAGCAGGGTGCAGCAGGTCGGGTGTGAGGACAAATACTCGCCGAAGACATTGGTTAGTGGTCACACTATGTCATGAATTGGCAGAAATTAGAATTCATGGAGTGGCCATTGATTCGGGTCCCAGTGGCTTAATGGTCTACGAGCTCGCCTTATAACTAGAAGGTCCTGGGTTCGAATCCCGGTGGGTGCGTACTGCTGAAAAGTCACAAAACTAGGACGAAACACCTGGCTGTCCAGCACTCTTAGGTTTTCCAATGGTTCTCTGCCAATGTCAGCTCATGATGAAACCTGTAACTAAGATATTCTAGTAAGATCACAGAACTTATTTCATATTAGTAATCAAGATTATTAATTGAAGATTTATTAATTAGTTATAACGGTGAACATACTCTGTTGATTGATGATCATCTGAGATTATACCGATTTCGATATTGGAATGAACAGAAAAAAGCAGACCTTTGCTGGATTATCAAAAAGCATGTTTGAGTCGGTTAACTGATGGCTAGTGAGAATGATGATATTTACTTCCCATTACTTTATGAATCGTTCACCTAAAAAATTATTACACTTAACACAATCTGTTTTCATTTAAGACATAAATTTGGTAATTTGCTTACTGCTTCAGTTGATTAGTTCAGTTTAAGTACTTTTGCCTATTCATGAACTAAAACGAGTCATCATCGGTAAGATTAAAAGACTGTATTCTTTTCAAACATTGATTAAACATTCACTTGTGAAGAAAAAGACATGATGGTAAACTACACTTCCTTGATGTCCAATTGAGCAAAAGAGAGTACAGTTCACTCAAGAGAGATATCTATTTAAAAAAAACTAAGTCTATAGGACAGTATACATATTTCTTCAGTTCTGTACTAATCTGATACAAAATCAGTTTGGTTAGACGCCTCATGAGCAAGAAGGATCTATACAGATGACTCCCTAGAAAATGATTTAGGATAAAATCAATATACGCCGATCCAATTAGGTTATCCTAGTAGAATTGTAAGGAGACACATGAACATCCGGAATAATAAAGAGAAATGGACAACAGCTAAAACGAAACAACTGTTCCTAAAATTGTAATTTATTATTTTAAATTACAGCTTGATTCCACACCGTATTTTCGATACAAGCATGGAATTTTCAGCATGCGATATCGGTAGCCCAAATTTCGCAGGCCGACCATAGATATCAGGTGTGTGTTGGCGTGGGTTCGAACCCCGGACCATGTGCATGATCGGCGAGAGTCCTAACCACTGTGCCACCGACGCACGTGGCTAGTGAAGTCCTACATCTAAGAGGACAATAAAACGGACTTATAGTGCCCCCACTGTTTATTTGTCACTTTTTAGCTGGCCAGTCATGATTGCTCAAGCGAAAGACAAGCTGCCTAGCTGTGCCACTTCTATATTTATCTAAAAATTTATCTACCCTGGCGGAGAAACCTATATTGGCCAAACAACTAGACAGTTCAACAAACGTAATTATTAAATATTTAGGTTATGATATCTTATAGGGATCTGAAATATTTTCAATGCAGATTTCATAAGGAAACGACATCAGTTGGAGTTCACTAAAAACCATGTAGCATTGGACAATTACTTCATCCTAGTGTGGGCACTCATCGGCAGTGTTCATCCGAAACCCCCGCCGGAGACCGAACCCTGGACTTCTAGGCTATGGGATCAAGCTTGTTGATCATTCAACCACTCAGATCGGAATTGAGTCGTCTGTGAAGTCTAACTGTGTCGATTCGTGGCATAACTCCACCTTCAATCAATGCCTTTAAATAAGCATGCACTTTACTCTGTCATAGTGGACTCCAGTGGTGACAACTTCTCACTAAAGCTTTAGGATATCCACCCAGTCATCATCATTGAACTGAAGACTGATATTCAGATTATGGGTTTCCGTAGGAATTTGGAATAATTTCAGTGTAGACTTCATCACGAACCAGAATCAATCCATGGTTACGTAATCATTCTTCATGGGTAATTTTATAGTGGTGATGATGTGTGTACATATGTGATTCGTATTTCGGTTTCGAATAAAACATCTAAAAAGAAGAGTGCGTATTATAGTTGGAAATCCACTGACAGAGGTAAACGGACGCATACTACTCTATAAACTACTGTTTAGGCAATATTTTTACTTATTTTCTCTTGTGTGATCACATTTACCAGTGTTCCTACCCAATAGAAAAGAAAATTATTTTATGATGAAAGGAAAAACAAATGAAACAGATTTTACTTCACTTACCTATAGCCAAAGTAGCTTCCAACATGACCCCACTTATCTTTCAAATAGGTTATCTGGAAGCAAAAGGAAAGTAAAAGCAAAAACATTAGTAAGGCTAATCGAAACAATGTTTCTCCGTTTATTTAAACTTTAAACACTTCATTGTTTTTGCTATGTAGAACCAGACTAATAAATGCATGTTGATGAATAGACCGCTCAAAAACATGTCCAAAATAGCCACATATTTAGCCGTCATCGTCTTCAGACAAATAGGAACTGAAGGGAAGTCACGGAAGTATTAAAGCACTTAGTCGAAAAGCCTATAAAACCAATCGAGATCGATCAGTTCTCTGCTTAGCTCAATAAAAAAGAGGAGAAAATCACAAGTAAGGATATATGAAAACCTACACACTTTACATAGTGAATCGCTCTTGAGATTCAGACAGCAGACACTTATCTGAAGTGCCTACTCTTTTTTTCATATTTGATCATGAATTGATGCCACTTAGGGAGCCATTTAAAACCAGGAAGTACTTGACAGCTGTTTTATGCTCTTCAACAGTACATATACACTGGGGTTCGCACCTAGAACCTCCGAGTTACAAGGTAAGCTCGTTTATCATTCAACCGTGAATTCCAACTTCTACGAATTCGCGATTTTAATATTCCATAGAGTCACAGCAAAGATGACGTTTACAATTAATACAAAACAGAGTGGAGATTAACAAAACTACTAAAATTGTGTCCCGTATTTACTTTTGAATGTTTCACTAAAGAAAGTGAAAATAATCGAACTTTAATTTGGATTGTCTTTTTACCGATGACATTTAGTCCCATCTTCTTAGTACTTTTAGTCATCTAAAATGTTTTTATTTGTCTTTTCGTTGTGATTCCTGTTGAGTAAACAGTAGGTGCTTCAATTTTTTTCTTTTTTACTCTGTCCCTAATGTATGTAATTGATATTATATATTGCTAACCTAATTCCATTTATTATCCCATATGAATGAACTTTTAAATGTCCTAGATTAGCCTCCTCTTAGCATTTAAAACAGTTTGAACACATATTCTGATAACATTTAAACAGTTGTGATTCTATATACACTGCATATATGTCGTAAAAGTCAATCATCAGTATGCCCTAAATGAAAAGTTTTCAACCAAAAGAGAAAAGAGAAAAAAACGTTTGTCAAATAACTAGTCAATTTTTAAGCGTATGTTGACATTTTCGCTCAAATGCTAATTATCTGGGAGATTATTATTAGTATTTCAAACGTATTTAAACTTAATATGAGAAATGAACTGTAGAGTGAGTGATACACACTGAAATTTCATATTTGTTTCATGAATAATAAGGAAAAGTTCTGTCCTTTTTGAAATAGATATTTTAACAAAGAATTAAATATGGACAACAGTTTTGAAGTACAAGGAATTTTCAGTTTTCAATTTTGACAATTTTTGTTATATTGCGATCTGACAAAGGCTTAGGAGTGGTGTTGATGGACAAAGATGACTACATCTCAAAGATGAAAGTTGTGTTAAATGACCCGTTGAAGTTTAAAGTTGACAGTTCCCAGAAAGATAAGACAAATGCAGTTGAAAAACTTATCACAAACGCACTGAGAGATCTTCTAAAGAAGAAATTGATTGACAGCAATACGTACAATGATTTGAAACCCCGAAGATCTATGGCCTTCCAAAGATGCACAAAAACCAAGTCCCCCTGAGACCTATACTTTCGATAATCAACTCTCCCCAACATTAGGTTGCATGTTGGCTTGCGGAGAAGTTGGAACCTATTCGTCAACGGCTAGCTGTGTACACCATGAAAGACTCATTTCATTTCACTGAAAGTGTGAACCACATGAACGTTTAAAAGTAAGTTCATGGCATCATTTGATGCAACCTCCTTGTTCACAATGATTCCAATCAATGAAACTATTGAGATCATTTGTCAGCAGTTTGATCTTATCCCACTCTCAGAGTCGGAATTCAAACGCCTACTGCTTACGTGTAACATGGATGTGCAACTCCAATTTGACAACACTCTTTACCGCTAAATAGATGGTGTAGCTATGGGGAGTCCACTTAGTCCTGTTTTAGCAGATATATTCATGCCCAACCTTGAAAAAACAAAGTTGAAGCATGCAATCGACGAAACCACTTCTTATTGTCCATATGTCGATGACATATTTGTAGTGTGCAGCAATGAAAATCATGTTTTCCACTAACCCAGATTATTCATTGACGCACATACCAATATTGAATTTACTATGGAACATGAAAGTGACGGAAAGTTCCACTTCTTCGACATTGCCATGCAATGCCTAGAAGATGGTAGTATTCAGAAGTCAATTTACCCAAAGCCTACTTGGAAAGGACAAAACTTAAATTTTAGTAGTTTTTGTCCAAAAAGCTTTAAACGTGGACTAGTCGAGACTCTATACTACAGAGCTAGGTGATTATGCTCTACACATAATTTAGAGGAAGAATTCAAGTTTCTAGAAAAGGTGTTGAAAAGCAATGGTTACCGTCAGAGGTTCATTAACAAGTACGGAAAATCTAAATCTTCAAATGTCAAGCAAATCACAGTGGGAAAAAAGCCCATCTACATTCAACTTGATTTTAAGGGTGAAAATATTACAGCGATTGTCAAAAGAAGATTGAGCACGTCACTAGAGGCAGAGCCTATCCTGCAGCTAAGCTCGTTCTCGTCTACCGAACAACTTTGGTGCAATCGAAAATCGGTAGACATCCTTCTCATGTTAACAACTCCAACTGGGTATACAAATTTACATGTATCTGCTGGAGCAGTTACTTCGGAAGAACAGAAAGAAGGGCATATCTACGATTTTCTGAACATGTACGAAAAAGCTTATGTCTAAAGGGAACAAATATTTTAAACAGTGCCATCGCCAGGCATCTCATTGACACGGGTTATCGGATCGACTTCGCAAGATCGTTCAGAATCATCAATAGGCAAAACAGCTCCATTCTTCTTAAGTTTACTGAAGCCATTTCCATCGAGCGCCTGAAACCTGATATATGCGTTCAGAAAGAAGCGGTTATCAGTCTTTCTTTTCCCTGTTAACTGGATATTTTTCATCTCTCTTTCATCCGAATGCGAAATGCTGAAAATTTTCCATTGTGTATGATCATTATTGTTCGGAATATTGTTTAATATTGCATATATATTAATTAATTAGTTTTTCCTTCATGTCCTCAGTGGAACATAGGGCTTCAAGCTGGTGGCTTGAAGTTTGTGTAGCAGTCTTTATTTGACCGGATGGGGTTGCTAGCCTCATGCCCAACCTTTCCTCTTCACCAACATTATTTCTGAGTTAGAGAGGTAAAGGAGTGCGTCGATCGGGGAGTCGAAGCCCGTACCATGTGTATGGTCGGCGAGCGTCCTAACCGCTGTGCCACCGACGCATTGCATATGTTGATTTTTTTTGTTTAAAAATGAACTCTGTGCAAGTATGTTAAAATCGTTTCTGTAGATATATTTAATAATGACTTTGGCCTGAAAGCAGATGGCGGGAAGCCAACGGAATAAATGATACCATTTTATTCCGCGAAAACTGTTGTTCTTGCTTTATTCAAATTCATTAGGGGGAATAAATGTATGAAATTGTCAGTTAGACTAACTGAGAAAAGTCTTTATTGTAAAACTCAAGTTTATTCATATGAATATGAAGATTATATTTCAGGGACTAGAGAACTACATCAAATTAACTTGGAGATAATATCCCAAGGATCATAGTACTTCTGTAAACGATACACTAGCAGGGAACTAAATGACATTTAAGGAAACCACCATTCAGCTATAAAATATGTTGTCCTTTAATGAGTAGGCTCTGTCTAGTGAATCTGATATGCTGTCCTTATTGAGGTTATCCTAAATTAGTTGAAAGATATGAGTCAACTTTTTGGCAATGGCAGTTTGAATTATCCATGTCCTGAGTTGAATGTAAAATGTTTAAATATTCGAACTAAATCTCCAATGCTAAAACGACTGTTGTTCCATATATCTCAGGGAATTATCATTTTCGAAGTGAAACAACTTGAGATCTAACAGTTATATATCCACTGCTGATAACAGGGAGATCAAATTAGGCATAGCGACAAAGATTTTTGAAAAATAATTTCATTACTTACCCCACCTAAATCCATAGCTTGATTTAATATCATTACAATCCCACGATAGTCATTGTCAATCCACATTGGACTGGATGTGATTATGTTGATATGCGATTGAGGTTGGTGTTGTTGTTCTTCCTGTTGTTGTAGATGACTGAAATGGTGTTGTCTTGTGACTTTGTCATTATTATTATCGCTATTCAACTTAGCCAAAGCTATAGCATAGCCTAGACCAAAACCTTTATGTTTTAAGTCATGTGAAGAACTTTTCAATCGGATTGCATTGATCAATTCACGACCATGGTAACGACCTAAGAAGATATTACCTTCAGTTAAATAACTTCCAGGCATGCCAAGTGCAACAAACGCCTCCCCAGATTGATTGCCTTATAAGAAAATATATATTAAATAGAAATAATTAGACGTTAATTAGAAATTAAGTCATGATTTCTTTAAAACAATACACAAATAATATAATTTATTTAAACATGCAAATAATGAACTCTATTTTAAGCAATCTGAACTGGTTTTTAAGTACAAATAGCATTCAGTAGTTCCTTTATTTAAGCTATGGTAACAATGTTTAAGTCTATTGGATATTAATCAGATATATTTCCATCAGTTCAGCACTTCAGAAACAGAATGATCTCTAAAATGATCGAATATCTGTAATCCGCTGAAAGTACCATTCAGACGATTGTGGTTGTTCACTAATCTCTGACAAACTGGTTATCTGTTATTGATATTTTCTCGCCAACTAGTTTTGAGTTATAAATAAAAATTGTAATCTGAATAAACTGCTCTTCAAAAGTTTGCGGATTCAGATGTTGTCAAAATGTGTCAGCAAAATCTGTACTTTACACCACACACGATCAATCCTGACCCAGTGTAAGCTATGCAATGTTTGAAACCATACTAGGATTTGCTGTACAGCGGATGTTGCTATTTAGATGCTCAGTTCCACACAGAAACTGATGGAAAAGTGAATGTTCTTAACTTCTACTGATGAACATCTGTCTGGCTTTTCGCATATAAACTCCACTCTCTAACTAGTTTCATGTAGCCTTCACAAAATCTCAAACGAAGATGCAGGCTAGAACTGACTTCAAAAATAAAACAGATGATTATTATAAGAAATCTGTTAAGATAACTGCTTACTCTATTCATGCAGCTTATCTTATGACGTAAGCCCCATCACCATATCTAAGGTGGATGGTAGACTGAGGTACAATTATACGTCTTTACCTCCTAACGGCAATTATACACACTGTGAAGTGGACATGCTTATTTTAGTCATCATCATCAACATTACCACCAAAATTACATTATTTTTTGAACATCAGCCACCATTCTAAAGATGCTTATTGGCAGAAGAAAACTGTTTTAATTGAGGTTTTGTTATGTGGCAGGTGAAATGAATACAGTGACAGATATCGATATTAGATGGTTGAAGGCAATTTGCTGGAAGCCACACCTGACCTAGGTTTTATGCTAGTTTGCACTCACCAGTCAGTCAGCAAGGCGTATCTGCAACCTTGAAGGAATTCATGTCCCCTTTGAGATTCAAACCTGCATCACCCAGTGCTGCAGTCAGAGACGCTACCACTGAGCTATTCGGGCTCGCGACTGAACTCCTCCAGGACTATTTTGGATACCTTTGATTAGACACTAATTAGTAACTAGTGTAGTGTGTCTAGTCCTTTGTTTGGTACAGAATGAATCGTATCAGTCAAGTTTGCATTGTGGTTCACCATCAGGGTGCACTTTGACATGCTGATATTAGACGGTTGGAGGCTAATAGGATTAAGTCCGCACTAAACAAAGGACTAGATACATTACACTAGTTAATAAAAGACAAATGATGATTTCAGACAAATGAATAGAGTAATATAACCATATCAGTAAACTCGAACTCTTGATTTTCAGCAATATTAATATAAATAATGGCTGTAGTGGTTACCTTTCTCGTTAATCTGACATACTTTCAAATTGTTCTTATGAATGTCAGATGCAACAAGTGTGAAAAGTGTTTTATCAAACTATATCAGCAACCTTAGCATTTCTGAAATCTTTATTCTTCGTAAATTATTGTTATCAAATAAGGTCACTGTACTCCAGCTGAATTCTTCAAATAATCTTTAAGTCAGTGTTCATAAAAACCAGACACTACTTGAAAATAATACCTTTACCTAAGTCAAAAAATGATAAAACTTAGAGTCAGATTCCTCTTAGTTGCATAGATGCATCATAGACCAGTGCCCATTAAACGATGAAGCAGTCAATTTTCCTTCCTTTCAGTTAGTTGACGAATGTAAACAAGAACTTATAAGAGAATAATTGGTCAGAAAATTCCTCCATGAACAATCTGTTTACAATATTGATGATAATATGAATACTTTAACTTATTTTGCAACTACTGCACTTTTCCCGTGATCTGTATACCATCGTTCTAACATTTCAATATCTCCTTTTGATTTAATCCTTACTATTCCTATTTTATTGATGTTTTACTTTGAGGTTGTACTATGGTGTTAATAATGTGTTGTTTTACGATTGCATTATTGTTCGTATGAATTCCAGGTTACTTTGTAGAGTGACTATTTGACCTTTAACTATCAGCAGGGAACATATTTTATTCAGTTTCATTCTTGCAAACAGAGTTTTGAATCTGCTTTGTTGAGAATATTCTTATTCATTCTCAGGTATTTACAACTGTCAAGTGTAGGTTTGCAGGAATTCGACTGGCCACAGGTTTGATCACAAGCTGACATTATTCTGAGATCCATTGGAAAACCGTGATGTCCTGAACAACTGTTTCGTCCTAGTCCGGGACTCACCAACAGAACTCACGCACTAGGGTTGGAACCTTCCGTTAACAAGGCAAGCTCGTAGACCATTCAGCCACTGGGACCTGACTGAATGACTCATGGATTTTAACCTCTGCTATTTCGCGATATATAGCAAAGCCGTGAGCTAATGTCATAGGCAAGTGACTGTTTTCTTGCTTGAATTGATGGATCCAGCTGCTCGTAAAACGGCCGTCCGGTACCGCCTAGTTTTCCAATAGTCCTCTAACTTATTAGAGGCCGCGATTAAATCTGAAATTTTTAATTCTGTTTGGTCAGTTAACTTTGCTGTACAGTGTGTATTTCGTAATTCGGAGACTTTTGGTCTGTAAAGAGCTGCCCGATGACAGTGTTGAGGTAGTTTTGTATTTTTGGCATAAGTTGTTAGCGTTCAGTAGCACCGCAGACTCTATCAAAGTCACCCGTGGTTTGATATTGATAGAATAAATCCGGACTGTGCATTATTCGCGGAAGTCTGCTACACTATATGGAAGAACGCATCGATTGGTTTCCTGCGTTTTGACCAATATACTCAGGTTTTAGCCACTATGTAAGTGACACTTAATAAGTGATTAAACTTGATTTCTGAAATTTGCCGTGGTCATCTAACCATTGATCAAATTCTTTGAAATAGAAATTTATACACTAATATAGGATAAATGTCAAGTGTATGTATTCAACACATAATGATTTATGATCACTTTCACTCCAGAAGTTTCAGGTTTCTGTGTTACAGAAGCTGTTACATAAGTTGTCTGTTACTAATACAATAGTATACATTTAGTAACATAGAGCAGACTGTGAACTTCCATTCAGACTGATTAAGTGACTGGAGTTCTACATTCTCTTATGAAATATATCGTATTCTGCTCTGGAATCATGATTCGTAACTTGAATCATCTTAACATCAAGCATATTTAACATCTTTAATCTTTTCAAAATACGTGATGGTGTATGAAATCGACGTTTTATTCAGTTTAAAAAGTCGATGAACTGAGTTACTGAATAGATATACAGACTTGGTGATACTAGATGGTTGGAGGCAATCGGCCATAGGAAGCCTTGTTAGACCCATGATTCGTGCTCGTTGGTGTTCACCAGTCAGAAAGGCGTATGCGCAAACTTAAAGGAACTCATATCCCCTCTGAGATTCAAATCCGCGTCACCCACTGAGTGCTGCAGTCAAAGACGGTACCACTGAGCTATTCGTACTCGCGATTGACCTCCTGTAGGAATGACTGTATTGGATACTTAGATTGGATGCTAGTTAGTAACTAGCGTAGTGTAGGGTTTCGTGAAACCTGGGTCCATGGCTTCCTGTAGCCGATTGCCTCCAGTCATCTAATATCATCAAATCAATGTATGCACCGTGATGGCAAGCTACCTAGAATAGTGGCCACATTGCAAACCTGACTGGTAGAATTCAGTCTGCACTAAAGAAGCGACTAGACACATCACAATAGTTACTAGTGTCCAATCAAAGCAGATATACAGACTCCTAGTCGAATGTAGGCTTCATTTTTGTTTATGAAATGTTTCTGTGTTTCTTAAATGCCACTAAAATTAAAAAGTCGGTAGGTAATTTTATGATTTATGATACTGATGATAAAATGTTCAATAAATTTGCAAAGCGCAATACGAGAGAAGATTCTAAATATGATACCGCCACATCACTCCATTGCAACAAGAAGTCATTGATTGATTTTAAAGAAGAATATAAGTTTGACGCCATAACAGATGCTCAGTTTTTTTCAGAGGTACTTCATCTGTAGTAAAGTTAATGAGATGAAAAGAATTTTTATCGCATTCCATCTAGATGTGACACTGGTAACTGAAAAATGAATATTGCTACTTTCGAGGTTATAAAAAAGTTGCACGATCAAGTATCTTAGTGAACGCTACACGTATTATACAGTTATTCAAAATAAAAGTTAAGCTCTTTGTGACATTGTGATATTTTTATTTGTTTAGTAAATAGATCGATAAAAGTAAAGTCCTACAGAAAGAAACACCTTTTTGGAGTCTTCTGCTGTTTGCTGTATCTTCAGAAGTTGAGGATATTCTTGACTAATTAAAGAACAATACTGTTCATTCACTTTTTGTAAGTAATGTTCCAAAAAGCAGAATTTTTGAATGAAAGATGTTATATACTACTGGCCAGTATAAGTAGCTGGAAACCAAACACCTCATCCAGTACTATCTGCTAGCCAAACCGATATAATCTTGAATGGTATTAAAGCTGATGAATAGAGTGGAAACATATTCAATGTAACATTATAATCTGTAAATCTCAGTCATTCACTCACCTGAAACTGGGGCAGTGATCTTTTCAATGACAGTTGAAATTTTCACATGTAGGAATTAACATTAGGTTTATCCACTACATAATTAACCCATATCTAATTTTCGAGGTTCTATTTAACTGAAACACACAGTGTTCTAAAAGAAAAACGATGGTCGCTCTTTTGTCTTACCAGGAGGCTCTCCTAATCAGAACTGTCAAAGTCAGAAAATTAGTTAAACCTTTTTTGTATGAGTTACCCTCTGAAACTATTTGAATCTATCTGGAATCCCTTTAAATCTTAATGAAAAAATATACGTGACTCACCTGCTTGTACATCAGCACTGAATCCAGCAAGGCATGCACCTTCTTCTTGACTATGACATGGATCCACAGAAACATACTGCATAGACGTTCCCGTATACAAGGCACAATTACCTATTCCAAGTGAACTTTTTGATTTTATTGAAGACTTGAAACGGTTTCCTGAGTCAGCTGGATCATTAGAAATATCATTCATTAAATCTGAGTTGAATAGATAGCGAAAATCACAACCAAGTTGAATTCCATCGACAGCATTGTTCGCAGCTGCTACTGTTCCACCTAACCAATGAGAAACTATAGAAGAAAAATAAAGAAGTAAACTTTAGTCTAAAAATTATCAGACAGGTATACTTCATACTAAATGAAACTTTTTAATTTCCCATTGTTTGATTCAAGTGAAACAAAATACTCAGTCCAACCAACCTTCATTCACGCTATTCAACTTGTCCGATCGTATTGCAACTTCAAGATGGTGTGAATCATGCTATAAGCTTATTCATTTTGGATAAAGTCTGTCTGCTTTGAATGTGATATCCCTGTAGACTTCATTCCTTATCCCTGTTTCTCGGCAGTTATACTTCTAAGGATATACAGCACAATATTACCCAATCAGATATCTGTAATTACCTATGGTTATTAGAGTTTACTCACAAACATGTTGTGATCAAAAGTCATCTTAATGATAAGTAGGCGATATTTACTGTTCTAGGGAAATTAGAACTTAAGTGTTTCCCTAAAGTACCTTCTGCAATAAACGGTGCGAAACGTTAAGGTATATATATAAACAGTCGAGTTTTAAAGTAATAAATTCAGATAGGTAGGAGGATGTCTACAAGACATTTGGCAGTAGTATGATATGGTGAATTTGGCATATCCAAGATTGGACGTAGTGGCACGTTCTCTTTATGCAAGTGTCAAGTTCCTTTACTGCCACAGGGTTCTTGATCTGCTTCAAATCACCGAAAATACCCATTGGGTCATGAAGAAAATAAAAGACAGATTCAGCGAAGAAAATTTTCTTTATCGCCGAAATCATCTTCACAGGCTATACAGTCGTATTTATACTAACAAAAAAAATATTTTCTGTTAAACTTGCCGTTGCGAATACAACAATCAGCTTTATGAAGAGCTGTATCGATAAGAAAGAATATCACAAGCACTTCTGTAAATGTCTTCATCGCAATCATATTCACCCAAACCATCGCTCTTTGAAACGTCATACAATGAATGTCATCGATGAAATAAAATCTCGACTACCAGAGATAGAAAGAAATATTTCACTTAGAACACATGCTCTATTTGAACTGACAGAAGACAAGCAGAGAAATTTCATGGACTACATCGATTCAGTTTCAAGAAGACTCTGTGAAGATGTAAACCTCAAACTCGCAGATAGCCTCAAAGCTGCTGACACTTATTCACGTTTTTCTGCCACACCAGAGAAATACGTTTTCAACTAATCTAGTATAACATTGACTCCTGACCGATTGTAAGCCTTGTCGTTGGGTCCAAAATTCTGTGATATTTTGACAAATTCGAGGGACTTGGACAAAATGTTCAGTTTGAAGCACTGATCCAACAGACAAATGACCTTTTTCCAGTGTCCAACAAATCATATGAGCAATAGAAATCTACGATATTGAACAGCTGCCATCATTACATCGACACAAAACCTAATGTCAAAAAATTGATTTCAGCCGAGCACAGAAAGCAACTACACGAGATTTCAAAGAACAAAGACTCCGTTCTGACCCGCCCCGATGAAGGTGCTGACGCTGTCCTGATGAATCGCCAAGACTACGTCAAGAAAATATTACCAGTCATGTCAGATGAAAACAAATTTTCGAAAGAAAGTAGGCAGAAAGACTGAACGGAACAAATTGAAAGAAAGCTAACATAAATACTGAAGAAGATGGAGAACGAATCGATTATCAGCTGTGAATTATTCAAGCAAATATGACCCTCCGGTTCCCTGATTCCCCGTTTATATGGTCTGCCGGAAGAACACACAGAGAACGTGCCACTACGTCCAATCTTGGAAATAATAAATTCAATTTGTTTGGTTTGACTAAGTTAAACATTAAGTTACAAGATTTTAACAACTACCAGCATACTTCGAGCAAAATGATGGTCTCATATATATAGATAGCCTATAAAATAAAGCCAGGTGTTTCTAACTGTTAAGCATATTTCATTCAGCTATCCCCCTCGACACTAATGGTTATAAGAATAGAGGTGAATTCATGTAAAAACAAGTGGCAGAATAAAAGTAACTTGAGTTCTACGGCAAGATACCCGCAAACGAATAACTCTAATAGTGGGCGATTATCGCAAAGGAAGTAGGAAGATGGGTCGAGGTGAATTTCGAGTCATTTGCCTTCAAATTATCACTTCAGATTCAGCTGCGCTATGAGAACGAACTACTAATTAGTCATCACTTCACTTCAAACTGAACAGGTAGTACCGAACTATTTCGAATCATGCGATGGTGCATCGGTGGCACAGCGGTTAGGACTCTCGCCGACCATGTGCATGGTCCGGGATTCGATCCCCTGCCGACACACACCTGATATCAATGGTCTGCTTGCAAAATTTGGGCTACTGATATCACTTGCTGAAAATTCCATACCTGTTCCAAAAATACAGTGTGGAATCAAGCTATAATCAAAAAATAAAAATAAAATGCCATGATCAAACTTCCACTTTATCTGCAATCACTATCCAATAGCGGCAGTCATTATTAATAATGTTAAGACTGCCAAGCTCCTTTGTCAACCATGAAGTCGTGATTTATGCATGTACTGACATGATAACCTTATTGGACGGTTTTGATCAGTTTATTTATGGTTTGATTTTCTGAGGGATTGAGATGCCCGTACAACCAGTCAGATTCGTTTAAGTTATGGATTTAATATTCTGAGTTTTAATAAGTAAAATATACCATGCATTTTGTCTAATAAAAGCTTTTTGTCGTCTCGGTAGTCTTTTTTCCCAATATGACTTTTTTGTTCATCTCAGTGTGGTAGATATTTTCAGGCGACCAGTTTTTAACAGTACCGTATTCTGGAGGCGCATTCTAGTCAGTTTAGACGAACTCAGAACCCACTATCACTTTATCATAAAATATTTTGGCAACGGCGTTGTTCACTTCCTTGCAGACATAACAAATAGTCTAAGACTAAAGAACTATACCTTATTATGTAGGGTGTTAAAGGTTGTCAGCAGGGTGAGCAATGTGGCACCTAACCAGCTTGTTAATATTCTGGTTGACAGGCACATGAACTCATGTGAAAAATGGGCTCAATCCATTCTATTCAATTCACACCATCCTCTTCATTCACAACTCTCCCCTTGTATCTCATCAGGCAGGACCAGAAGCCTATATAGGAAACTATATGTTCACACTAGCAAATACAAACACTCAACTATGCCCTACTTAGCTCGTGTTCTGTGCGATAAAGAAAGCATTGGGCGTGAAACTTATAACTTATTAAGTAGTCAGTAGAACAACTGGATCTCATCTTTCCAACTCATTGCATTTATAGGTACAACATTTTCTTCCTCTCTTTTCCTTTTCTCTGTATCTTTTTTTGTTATGTGCTGCTTTGTTCCTCTCTTCCTTACAATTTCTACTTAAAACATTCTTCTTCGTTCTCTCACACTCGGTATATCTCGACCTTTGTGTTACCGCTTACGCCAGTAAACATGCCAGCATCTACTTTTCTAACACCTTCAAACATTCTGTTCACTTTTGGCTTTGCTACCGATATGCTAATATGTTGTTGTCAAAGCTAACTGAGATTACCCTTAAGCTATGTAGAATTTTATTTATTGATAATGTACTAACTGGATGCAATACTGTGATGAAATGCTGAGAATTCCATTCTGTATCACAAGTACTGTTTTGGATTAAAGCAAATTATTATTATTATTATCAAATAGTCTCCGTATTCAGTAACCACAGACTGAAAATAACGATACAATGTAGGCATTTGAAGAAAAACCAAATAAAATTTTCCAGCGGCAACTAATGAAAGTAACAGCTGAACCCTTAGTGCCTATACAACCTTAGACAAAGCAATCGTATTTTATGATATTTAATTCTTTTTCATTACTTTAAAACTGATGACAGATAATTTTGTATTTCAGACATTTTCATGGGAACAAACAAAATGACTAAAGAGAAGACGTTCAGCGAAGAGACTCTTTTCGGCGAATTCATTCACATAGCTGTACAAAATGACTAAAGCAGAAATCTGAAGAAAACCAAAAAAAACCTAAGTGCAAACTTGGAAATTGATCATGTCTGTCCATCAGGTATCTTGATATTGACAAACCAGAAAAAAATGTAAATACCAAGCGTTCCTCACACTCTCGATAATAATTTCCTTTTCTGACATTACTTTTCATTCTTACGGAAAAGTCATGTGAAGCATGTTATGGGCAGACAAAACTACTGGAAGACAATTGTTTAGGATTAAAAATAATTAAGTGAAAGGTGATCACAGAAACTTTTGAATCTTTCTAAGCTAATTTGATTTTTACAATATTTCTAATTCTGTAAGGTATTTTGAATAATTTTTGTAAAAAAATGAATATTAACTGTTTTCGCCTAGTTTTCGTACTTATCTGTTTTAATTGTCGAGGGAACTAATGATCATTACTATTCCCTTAGGTTCTGAACGGAACATAGATCCTCAACAGTACATCCCCCCACTTCACTCTGTTCTCTGTATTTCTTTTTAATTGTCTCCACGATGGTCCATAACCTCTTATTTTCTCCCTACACAGTCTTCCCGATGTTAACTTCGAACAAAAGCATAACTCATCGTTTTCCATTCTCATTCCACTTACGGGCTTGGAACACGATATCACTCAACTGTTTGCAATCCTGTATATTTGTTGGGCAATCGATTTTTGGTTGATTCCCTGTCGCTCATCACTTCTGGCCGTCTTATATCCATCAAAGAGCTAAGACAGTCTCTACCAGGCTGTTGGAAATGCTTTTGGTGATACGCGAGCCAAGTCTCCGAACTATACAAAAGGAGTGACTTGGCATTAAACTAATGAGTTAGGTTTTAATAATAGCCCACTGATTAATAGATAGTATTTTTATCATAAAAGTAAAGGGTTTTATTATGAGAGTTAGTCAATAAATTAATAGGTCATGAATGTCTACTACTTATAAACTGTATTTCAGTAGCATACTAATGAAGAATAGCTATTATTCTGGGCTGACCAGTCCGAGTAATAACATAACTGTAGTAAAAAAAAGTAATTATGTAAATCACTTG